GGCCGGCGGCCCGACTCACCCCCCCCGGCCCGGCGACCCCGAACTCTGCATCGCCTGCGAAGCCATCTCTCCCCCCCGCCTTGGCTTTAAAATGTGGCGAAGCCCAGCCTTTTGTTTATTCATTTATTTACTCCCCTCGCGTGAGCCGGAGGGGAAAATGATAGGCGTCGGCAGGAGAAAAAGCAAGAGAATGAGAATGAAATACAGCCAGGCTCGTTCCGATAGGGCCGCTTTCCGCAGCTGCCAGCTGGAAATGATGCCCTTTTCAGGCAAAAAAGATTTTCCTCCGGACTGTTCACAAGGTTTTAGGCCATACATTTAACGTGCTTAATTGCATGTGAAGAGACGACTTGATTCCATCTGCTGCTGCTGTCTCTAACAGCATCCAGTTTAAGTAGTGAAACTCTATTTGCACCGAGCGAAAGTGTTTCAAAAACTGTGATCTGCTTTACCGACAATTCAGTCAGTGCTGCCAGGAGCGGGCAAACGCAGTAGCTCGCTGCGGCCCCTGCTCCGTCAGTCAAAAGCGGCCTTGGACTTCTTAGGCTGGGAAACACCCAACAGGACATCGCACTTCCCACTTCTCCGCTGGGAGAATAAGATTTTCTGAGGGCCTGATCTAGTAAGCTGTGGCACTTTTATTATTTGCATTTCTTTGAATCAGTGATGTCAATCATCACATTTAAAAATACCTATCTTTGAGACATGGACAACTTAAAATTTTATTTTGTAATTCACCCTAGTTCAGCTCGATGGTGTCTCCAAAACATTTTACCACTAGATAAAAATAGAACAAAGGGATCTGGAAATGTCCCCATAGGAAAGAGAAATGAATGACTTTACAAAGGCAACACTGTGCTTTCCAAGCTAGACACAATGCTGTTTTGTTTTCCAGATGGAGGTTTCAGCTGGGACATCTGCACATGTAGACCCCAGCAGTCAAAACACTGCACCAAGTCCTTGCTTGTCAAGAGTGTGAATAGCCCCATTTAAGCCAGCCTTTACAGTTCAACCCTCGCTTAAGTGCCTTCTGACTGAAGAGGGCTCACAGAGAGGAGTACCCTGCTCTAGGTTTGTTGTGCAGCTTTGAACAAGAGTTGTAGAAGCAGCAGAGGATGTGTTTCTCATCCTGGTATGATGGACGGCCTAAAAACATACTAATCTGCATGAAACACCAGCAACTTTGCATCACTTATTGTTATAACATACCCATTTAAAAATATTACAAGGCCACTTCTTCTGGCTTGGGTATAATTATCCAGGCTGTCAAAGTGTAGAATGAGGAAGAGAACAATAGATCCAGAGGACACATCCCCAGCTCTCTTTGAGGGTAATGAAAGCAGAGAGCACTGCATCTTGACTGCGGGTGAAAGATATACTTTGCTTGTTATTAATACTTCGGTAATTGCATACCCAAGGGAACAGTGGTTTAAACTATTGCGAAAGCTGTCATTGAGTGGCCTGGTTATTTAAAAACACTGGTTTGTTTCTGCGCCTCCTGCATAGATTGTTATGTAGGAAAACACAGTTGTATTTCTGGTCTTTAACTCAGCCCAGTAAACAGTGTTTCTGCTTCCTCCTGCTGCATATGTGGGGCAATGGGACAAGGTGTAACAGATAATATCCACTTCCAGAGAACAAATTAATTATTATGCTTTGTTATTTGTGCCATTTAATGAAACCCGTTTGATAAAAAAAAAAAAAAACAACACAAAAAACCCAAAGAAACAAACCAAACCACTCTACCAACTAGAGGCCCATTTGTAACATCTTTGAAGTAATTATATGTATGCATACCCATGGCCTGATTCTCTTGCTTAACTACGTTTTTTTCCTTTAATGAAGCTATCTATCCTTACTATTTTTATTTGCAGTCACTAAATCTAGACTTAAATTGGTGCAAAAGAAGAATCAAACCTTTCTGTGCCTCAAGATTTCATTCATAGCGAATTATGTCAGACAAGCAAACCAAACGACAGACTCAATACCATATGCCATGTTACCACAACAAAGAAAACCCACAAGCCTTGCAGCCACTTGGCAAAGCGTATATGCATTCCCCCTTGTTATTGCCAGCCTGGAAATGATAGAGCGTATTACCATATTCAGGGTAAATGTTTCATCAGATTACTATTGCACCTGCTAAAAACATTCTTGAACAAATTTGTGATTAGCCATATGGTTTTATCCACATTGTCTCTGCCACAGCAGGATACTGGGATTGGCAAATCCAGATTTACATCCCTGTTTTTCTCTTCAGGTTGACTACAAACTTGATGCTAATCAAATCCTGTGTAATACTGACCAAGGGAATACAGCACACTTCGTTTAAAAAAATCATACCCATGACAAGTTTTTATAATTTATTTTCTGCAGTATACATGAACATAAATAATACTTTTGCTTTCCTGGACTGCAGATAACAAATCTGATTTCATTTTTATGATGAATATTCCCCTGTCATGTCATCTCTGCCAGTAAGAATTAGCTCCCTAGAAGTAACTCCTATATCCAAACTCGTGATCATCCAAAAACATAACACTATGAATTCTACAGAAGAAATTCTGGAAACAAACTCTTAAAAGGAGATCTGTAATGATGGTTAGGCTCTTGATTCATTACCACCTTATAATTCCAGAAATATTTGTGGAGACTTGTTAAATCCAAACTTTTTCAGATTAAAAGAAACAACCCCACAGCTGGTGTCCTTTGCCAACATCAGAAGTCAGTCTTCCGTTCCAGTACTGGTTCCATATTACTTACAAAAATGGAATTCAATTTCTTCTTTAGAAGATAAAGTTCTCTTAAATAGTTGTGGTAATACGCCTTGAAAACACTAAAGATGACTATTTCTGCAGACACACCTTACTGAAGTATTTACTTCCATTTTATGGAATATATAAACATTTGAATGCCCCAAACTGCATATTTTAACTCTAGATCTGACCACAGTGCCTTTTTTTTACATTAAAAATAGCCTGTATATTCTTTATATTTACAAACTGCAAAGGCTTAAGCAGAGAAAGGTAGGTCTAGTTGTTACAGAGCAAACAAGAACCGTGGATGATGTTGGTTCAATTCCTGCTCTCCTGTAAACATCTGACGTAATCACGAACAAGTCACCAAAGCCCAGACTCTCATGTGATGGGGAGATAGTAAATGACAATTATTTCATTCTGTTTCCTACCTGTAAAACACAGTGAGCGGCAGAGACACCGTGAGAGTGCGTATATAAAAGAGTGAGAGAGACCTGAGTAGAGTGGTGATACATACAGACCAGATGAACATCTAAAATGGATGGATGTACACCTACTTTTCTCCATCAGTAAAGATGCCTCCCACAGTAAAGGTAGCTACAATAGGAAAATACAATTCAATGAAAAAAGCTCTCATTTAAAGAAAAATCAATGCCCCAAATCAGAAAACAGAAATACACTCAGGGGATTAGGAAATGCCATTCCTATAACAAAAAAAGGGTATACTTGGCATTTGAACTCTATGTTGAAACATGCTTTTTAATTGTGACTATGAATGAGAGTTGTATACTTTTATTGGGAAGCATCTGTTACAGGGAATGACAAACCCATGTCAGAACATGGATGCTCCTAAGCAGACAATAAAGCAAATGCTTAGCTATAGCAACAATAGCTTGTCGTTTCAGCTACTGTGTAGTTCAGATGAGGACTAAATTAGGTCTTTCACTCTTTTGCCTGAACAGTTTATTGAACATGTGTATCTGAGTTCTGCTAGAAATATACTGCTCTCATTCATATACATACTGTTCTTAACAGACTAGTAGCAATATTAATAAATACTACATTTCTGTTTATCTTTTACACAATGCAATCATCTAATTATATGAAATGTCATGTCAGATATTCTCCTCAAGGAAGAATGATTTAAATACAAAGCACTTAAGACTGAATAACACTAAAGTATAATTGAATGCTACATAAAACCATATATTCTGTTTCAAGTTACTTGGTTTTGTCAATATAGAAGGGAAAATACACCATGAAATTATTAGCAAAGCAGGGGTTTTTAGGTTCTAAATTAGAAAGTTGTAGCACCTTAATGTAATACTTTGGTTATGGTGGAGTTTAGGAAATCAAGCACCAAGAGAATGCATTGCCATGAATTATTAGCATCATAGCAGATAGTTCAACGTGAGGTTTTCTGGCAGAAGATAATTTGCATCGTGAGCTGCAGTGTTGAAACAGTCCATGAAAGTTACATGACCTGCAGACGTATGTGACTCATGCCATGCATCACCCTATAAATACAGTACTTCATTGGTTCAGAAAGCTACATTCTACTCAAAACATTTCCTGTTACCTTTGTCTCCTATTCCCTGCCCCACGAGTTGTGTACAGCATTAGCACTTAATACCGATCATTCTTCTTTTGGAATAGTTACATACCAGTTGTGGATATAATTATTTGTAATAAAAGTTATTGCTATCTCTTATAAGAGTTTATATGTAGTTATTGAAAAGACTAAATTTAGTCATTTATTGTGATAAGGTTGTTCCTGAATGATACTACCCCACATTCAGTAGAAGGTTGTCTCAGTCTGTGTAATAGGATAAACAGCATTTTACTCAGTCTCAGTCTTCAAATCTTTCTCTGGTATAAACATTCCATGCAGGTCCAGAGGCATTTCTACATCTACTATGGCTCGGCCCAATTCTTTGAATGTTTTAGCATCCAAGACAAGTAGGAAGGGTGCTTCCTTTGGATCAGACTTCACAACACAGGTCAGAACAATGCCTGTGACATAAAAATGAAGAATTAGAAGCACATACTAGTTACACCAAGCAGAAAAGATAACACTGTCAGGAAATACTTGTTTCCTAAGAATTTTAGGACACAAACTGAAAGTGCTTACTAGATCAAGTAGTTTACTGGGAGTGCTAAAGAACTAATGACTGCTTCTCTTCCATGCTTTTTTCTGATCTGCCTGCAGTTTATTGGGAAGAAAAAAGGTAAACCAACACTGAATTGTGTGCCTGGCAGTTTTGGGACTCATCCTTTCAGCTATTTGCCATTTGCCTTTGCAAGGAGTCACCTGAGAACAGAACTGGATCGAGATTACAGTGATACCTGCAGTGCCACTTCATGTTCTCTGTAACAACACTGACTTCCCACAGCTTCAGCTCCTCCAAACCATTGATAAATCCAGCTCCAAGTGGCTCTCTGTAAAGTCCTAAGCATCATTTTTACTGTTTATGGCTACCTTGGGACACTACACAAGCTGATTTTGGTCTATTGGTGCTTTGGCTTTTTGTCCGCAGAAGTAAAATAGCTGGTGCTAATTTTAATCTCACAGTGGAAGGATCAACCCAGCTTTCTTGACTAAGAACAACGAAACTTGTAAGATTTAATGCAAAACTCATGTAAACCCAGCTTTTAGAATGTTGTCATTATTTTACCATCATCCTCTTCTCTTGCATCAGGGCTGGGAACAAAAACGGGCTCAGATGGCCAGGAGTGATCCTCTCCCCAGTAGAGCATTTCCTTTGTTTGGACATTAAACTTTACAATCTAAATTGTTGTGACCAGAAAAGAAGAATGTCAGTGACCCAGACAGTGGTTTATTCCAAAGGTACAACATGAACAGACTGCTGGCGTGGGGGACCAATGCTAAGAGTTAAGGAGCAACAAGGTATGTGTCACCACGAGGAGGAAACACCTGGAAAATGTTAAACTTTGGAGTCACATTTAGTGGCTGCATAATCACACAATGTTCTTTTAATTTCATTTCATTAGATTTACAATTGCACCTTTCATTTATGGGCTTTCAGTATTTTACAAATACTAACAGATCATGAGAGAACCTTCACTGTAAATAATGCCATCACTATACAGAGGAAAAGTCCGAGGCCCAGAACATTTAAGTGACTTGCACCAAATCACTGCGATTCTGTAGTAAAGCTGGAAACAGGATTTAAACCTTCCATTTTCTAATTTTGTGAATTATTTTCCTTTTATTGTGACCTCAATATTTCTCAGCATCTTCTATTGTTAAGCAGGGTATATATGCCAGAACAAAGGCTATTAATAGTGATGTGTGAAGATTAAACCAATGGGGCAAGAATTCCACACAGATACTGGTATTTATTGACGGAACAGAGTATAGATTTTCATCTCGTTAATGGGTCAAGTGCCTGACCAAACCAATCGCCAGTGGGGATACATGGCATTTTCAGTTCAATTCTGTTAAGGCCTTTTCTCTACCCATACAGATGCAGTTATATTCTTTTCCCTTTGACCTTTAGTCAAAAAATATGTCTACAAAAAAATGAAACTATTCAAATTACTAGAGGAAGAATTTGGAAGAATTGTCCCTTCTGACCAAGATGACAGCAATTTCACTGATAGACTTTACCTAAGGATTATACATGGTGGTTGTTGTGTCTGCATTCATTAAAGAGCAACTGATGTGAAAAAAAATCTTCTAACAGCATTTTTTATTATATTTAAGTCAAGCAGGGATTATCTACTTTGGAAATCACAAACTTGCAGATTTGTTTGAGCTACTGTCAGACGTGCTGCAATAAATTTTCTTGCATCATGCAGAAATCCAGCTTTATTTTGTAATCAGTTGCGGTAATTATATACAAGAACCAACAGCGAACTCAATTTGTGCTGCCTTATAGTCACAGAACAATAATTATAAAGAGTGAGTTTGTCTGTACAATACTCTTACCCTCAACTATTAATAGTTTTCATCTTAATCTATTGGTACTCTAGGCTGTCTCCTGAAAAGTTGGCATCATGCATACACAAACAAAGCATGTGCTACCCTCTAATACAGAACTAGCTAGTAAAAGATAAAGCTTTCTGAAAAATTAGGTATTGTTTTAATATTTGTAAATATTAGATACTTAATTAAATATTATAGGTACTGTTGCAATAACTTTTTTTTTTAGGTTTCCTAGAGGGAAAAAATATTACAGATGTATGTCTGTCTAGTACTTCTTTTTCCTACTCTCTCCTTTGTAGCTCTTGGCACATTACAGAAGTTCGGCCCAATTTAGCAGAAAAATGAGGGTCTCGGTAACTACTGTGTTCAAGAGACTTTGTGGAAATATAAAGCTAGATAAAGAAGCATGAGTTTATTAATACTTTATGAGGGAAATGGTACAACATGAGCCTACTCATAAGAATTCAGGCATTTCATGTTTCTTTGCATGTGAATGTCCCACCATTAGGAAAAAGTTTTAAAAGAAACCTATACAGTATTGAATACTTGAGAATCCAATCACAGGCACATCTGTAAGAAAACATTTGTTCTGCTGCATATGGAACCACATGTTTTTAACAGCTGATAATAATGTTCCAGATTTTCAACTTTTAAAATGAAGATATATTGTTTCCATAGTTTGGCCCAGTGAGGCTCTTTTAATTATAGAAGTAAGTTAACATATGTCCAGCTTTTCATCTCCCTGCTTTCAAGTGCTGAAGTTTATGAACACAGTACCCAACTGCAGTGTCATCACTTAAAAGCTTTAACTTGATGTTGAAAAAAAGAGTTCAGTTTCTGGCCTCAGAACCAGACACTTTGAATTTGCATGTATGAATGCAGATTAGGCTATATTTTGGGCCAAACTGGTAAAGCTTGGTCTACTTATAAGTGCTTAAATCTGATTTGTGTTCTATAAATACAACTTCCGACTTTGTAATTGTTAGTCATACCTCTGTAGGAACTGGACTCCACTGGACTGCTGTTGCAAAGACATAGTTGTATTTTTTGCCATTATAGTCATAGTTGATGCGAGGCAGTTCTATTCCTGGGTAAAATAAAGTTCAAGACTTAGGAACAAGAGAAGAAAAATAACTCAAATGTACACTTACATATGCCAATCTTCAGGAAGTTTTGCCCCGTGAAAAACCTGGACAGTATTTAAAACAGGTGTTGCATAGATTTTGTATGCCTGAATTTCTAAAAAGCTGAAAATGGATATTAACACAACATAATTAAGCCAGGGTTGTTAGCTCAAAAATGACAATTTTTCATTCTTAGGGATTCATTATACTGGAACTTATGAGGGGTTTTTTACATTTGTCTTTTTTTTCTGTCTTCATAAATACATGAGATGTGAACATCTGAGATATAATTGGAGGCTACCATTCTAAGAAATTGCTTTCGCCTTAGGTAAATATATGCTTTTCACATATTCCTGTAATTATCCCCTGAAAAAAGTTTAAAAATCCACTTTCAAAGGCAATCTTTATAAAATACAGCAATAACTGAAGTTACTATTTATAAAAGACCTATTTAACCCAAATTACTTTTCTAACAGGTAGATTTGCAAGCCATATTAATAGTTGTAAGATCAGACTTGGGATCCTATATTAATATAAAACTGATGTAACGTCAGACATTTAAGACTCTTGATAAATATATATCTGAGAGGTTCAGGGTCATATATTACTGGATAGACCCAGAGGAGGGAAGTGAAGAAGAGAAAGATATTGTCAACATTTACACTAAACATATTAATTAAAAGTTTTGTTTCTCTTAGCTTTATAAAGATCTTACATATATGAACAGCTATTAGGCATTATTAGAATGCACCTGTGTGTGTCTAAGAGAACATATTTGAGATTTGTATAATGGATATGTCTCACCTTCACATAGTATTTCAGGGTGGCAATAGATGCTGCCATCTTTCTCTTTTACAGCAGTTGCGGTAGATGGAAGGGTGACTAAATTAGAACCTACTTCAGCATCCTGAAAGAGACATATGCTGAAAAAGTAATGTGTCTCTAAGAATATGCTTCTAATTTAGATCTTCCATCAGGTTTGATATTAATATAGAAAATTTGGGGATTAAACAAACAATCCAGCTTCAAGAAGTTCCTTCTTATGGTGTTTATCTTGTAACATTAGATTCTGACCTTTTCATTAGAAATCTTGTTATACTCAGAGGATTTTAATATATCATAGAGTAATCATTTTGAATCATACTGAGTCTTTAGAAAGGTTTAGATAGACATGGCTGTGTTCCAGAAGCACAATAAATGAATTACATAGTTTGTGATTTTAATTAATGAAGATGGGTTTCAAGGAATTAGGTATCAAATTCCCACTAAAAGTCGCCAGGGTTGGGGTTTTTTGCACCTGCTATAAATCAAGTGCAAAAACAGATGTAATGCACTCTTGTTTTTAATACGCTATTGCTGAATTCTTAAGATTGCAGGGTAGTTTGGATAGCTGGTGTGATCCAACACATCCTTTGTCATTGCTGCATAACTGCTTTTGAGACATGAACAAAGCAGCAAGATTCTAGGACGTAAAAAGAAAAAGTATTATCCATTCCAAATGTATCAGGCAGAAACTTGCCCAAGTTGCTGGGCAATATAAAATCTTCCCTGCAAACAATGATGTAAAATGATGTTTTAAATTAAACTGAAAGATAAAATCTTTCCTCTTCCTGGCAAATCTCACACTTAAATGAAATCTTCTAATTTTAATAAAACCATTGCAACAGTTGGGACCATGCGTATATTATATATAGGCTTCCAGTAAAGTGGAAGAAACAGGTTGTGCAAAACCTCATGCATGCCCTTCCAGTAAACAGCCAAGTTGATATATCTGCTCGTATTTGATAGCATTTTACAAATAATTGCACTGGTAAGGAAATTACATATGCTTAGTAGCCTTGTTCTCCATGACGGATGGTATCAGAACCTAGATCCATTTGACTGTATGTCCAGGTGCTCATTGCCATTTCTCATAATACATACACGAAACAAAACTCCTCCACACTTTGTGTATATGTTATTTTTAAAGAATCAGAAATTTGCACATAAAGGCTGGCAACTAATAATTCACCCATCATTCACACCAATGTATTTTAAATTACTGATCAAAGAACAGATTTAAAAGCCATTTTCTTTCTACCTTGTCATACTGCAGAGGAACAACAAATCGTTTGCAGGTTGGCATGGAGGTAAGCTTGCTCTTCTCTTCGAAGTCTTTAGTCAGGTTTTTTAAATAGAACATATCATATAAGCTATTGTCTGTATAGGCAATAATATCAAAAATAATGTGGCCGTCCTCTTCATAAGCATTTATATGGTGAAAAAGCACCATAGCATCAGTATAAAATTTAGTGGATACTTCTTTTTTAGTCTTCTTGTCTACAAAGTGAAACCAAGTCTGAAAGATAGGAGACGTTATTTAAAACCATTAATGTTCAGCAAATAGTTATTTAGGAAACTGTTTTCTAATGGTAGCCATCAACATTCTAATGTATTGTCTGTTTCTACTGAAGCATATTAAGAACTCAGGATTTGCTACTAGGAGACAAGAGGTTCCAACCTGAAGATCAAAACATGCAGGAGTAAAAGAAGTGCTTTAAATTCATTTTACTGTTGCAAATTACTATTTGGGCTAGGCTGAGGATTTAAGTTTTCTGGTAAAACCTGGAAAATCCCCTGCTCTATTTTTAAGTTAAATAAATCTGCCTTATTCCAGAGTCTCTGTAGTGCTCTGTGCTGGTGCACTCTACTCCAGCATGCCCCACTTATTGATGGCCAGAGCATGTGGAAATAAGGTCCTCAGAAAACAGGTTTTTTCCTCAGTGGCCATGATGAAAGGCTCTCCTTTTGTCTGATGCAGGCTTTTCCACCAGTCTGGCTCTCCTGTCTGATGCAATGGATCTAGAGCAGATCTCATCCACAATATACAGTATTTTGTTTGGACCAGGAGCAACTGTATGTGTCTGGGATGCTAGTGAGGTTTTGAATTTCTCTGCTATCACACAATATTTCTAACAATGCCAAACTATCTTCTTTCTCAAGCACTTCAGCATCAGATATTTATTTATTTGTGAAATTTCTGGAGATGGCAGATAGTATTCAAAAAAATACAACTTTTAAAAAAAAAGTGCAACATGAAAGTCAAGGGTTGAAAAAAAAAGAGGGATTACTGAAATTAATGAACCAGATGAAAAACAGAACAGTGTGGAAGAGGTCACTGGCCTGGCTGACTCCATTGCTCAGCACTAGGAAAAATACCTTATCTTCCTTATGATAGGCAAGGCAGGAAGCCCAGTTCACACCTCGGATGTAAGCAGTTGCCATTTTGACAATATCCAGTTTGAATGGCTGCTCTATGAAGACAATGTAATTTTCTGTGATTCCAAAGCTATGGCAGTAGCTTGGGTGGAGCAGAGACTGAGAAGGGATGGAGCATACCACTTCCAGATGTTTAAAATGAGATTTCTTCTTTTCTTTTTCTGAACATAAATAATAATTAAAAAAATTATATTTATAATAAATTCCAAACCAATCTTGTGCTTGGATTTCTCCCATGTATGAAGTAGGAAAGAACAGGTTCCTCTCAGTTTTATTTGTATTTTTCTGTTAAGAAAGTGGTTTGTTTCCTCCTGCAGAATTAACATAGAAGTTTGCATCTGAGTGAAGCAATGCAGTAATATCACAATGCCGGATCCATTTAGACAGAGGCCCCTCATCTCAGTATTTGATTCCACTGGTTACTGTCTTCAGAAGTTCCAGCATAGTGGAGAAAGATGTACAATTAAATTGGCAGCTTTACAAGGGGGTTCAAATGCCCCCATATTTTTGAACTTCTAAGGAGATGTTCCTGTTTGATCTATACTGACTGAGCCCCAGCTAGGAATTACAAACTTATCTTTCACCTGTGGAAGGCCTCTTAATTGTTCAACCAAGAGGACACACATCACACTAGCAGCTGATTTTAAACAACACCACAAAAAAAAAATTGTCTTGAAGGAAAAAGAGCAAGTGATTTGCTCTGTGAACAAAGGACAGTATTTCAGCAAAGCCTAGTGTAGGCCAGGTTAGAGAGGAATTAACTCTCCATTAGGTATTATTTGGTATTATGCTTCCCTATAATCACAGTATCAGCATTTTAAGAGCATTTTCATTTATGAAGAAAATTAAAATCTACAACTTCAAATTATATATACTGCCCTATAGATTGTTTCTGTTCGTCCTCCCTCTACACATCACAATACCAGGAATCGAAATTCTTCTAAAAGTTAGTTCACTCTAGTAATATTCAAAGTAGAATTCTTCTAAAAGCAAATTCCTCTAAAAGCAAGGTTCTTCATACCGAAATACCCTGTTCACACTGTATTCAAGATGAACCTTTGTAATAGCACATGCCCAGATAGGTTAAGCAGTTAGCATTAAGTTCACAATAAGTTAAAATTAAGAAAATGAACACCATCGGTTTCTAGAAGAGCTGTATCACCACCCCTTAACCTCAGAAGAAAAGAAATTGCTAACAAGTTTCTAGAAAATACTGATAAAAGGCATATCTTACCTGGCACAGAAGGAGGAATCTTAAATAGAATGTATTTTGTCTTCCCTTTATCAACTATTGAAGTACCCATGTTGAGAATATTTCCAGCACTGTCATAGTGCGGGTGAGAAGTTGCCACATTTACAGCTACATATTTGCTGTAGTCAACCTGGAAAATGATACAATAGGAGATTTTAGAGATGTGTAAGATAATTAAAATTTATGTCAGCTAACACCACAAATCCACCAGCTTTTTAGCACTGGCAGCCTTTTACTGGTACCCCATTTTCCAAGGGCCTTGAAATTTAAACAATTAAGCCAAATTATTTATGCAGGTACTCAAATGATTTTCTAATTCAAGGCTAAAACAAGTTACAGAATCTGAATTACATTCACCTCTCCCTTACAGCCACGTAACACAATGGGAGGATTGTCTAAAGAAGTTCCCCTGCCAATGCCCATTTCATCCTGAAAATAGTTTATTTAATAGGGCTATGAGTCTGGCAATCTTCTGGAGCAAAAAGATTTCTATTTGATTTAAAGCATGGAAATTGTACTCAAACTGTACTGCATGCTAGAAAAAACTCATTGTATATTTCAATATGTCAAGATTTCATTTTCAGAATTAAGTAATATCTTGCATAAAGTACTTGAAAAGTAGTCATATAACTGACCTACTGAATTGTTAATTCTGTAAATCACTTGGTAACTACAGATGCATAATAGTGGAAATCATCCAAAATAATTACGTCACAAGCACGATACATGGTATTATTCCTGCAACCTTGCTAGATTATGTACAAGTGAAATTGCTCAAAGCCCAGCTTTTCCCAAACTAACTGGGACTTAATTTTGAACTCATGAGTTCTTAAAAGATCTGGTATCTTCACGATTTCACTTTAGCATGATTTCAAAAGTAAGGGAATAGTAGAATAAGAAAAGTATCTTTCCAGTTTTGTGTCCTGCATGTGTTAAAGGATCCTTATGAGTCAGCCTGAAACTTTATTCATTAGCAGATGAGGAACCAGAATGACAGACAGTTGTTTATACCTTCTCTAATGTCTCCAGAGTCTGCGGATTAATTTTCCTGATGAAGTTAGTCTCACTGGTAGCATAAAAATCATCCCCAGTTTTCATAATGTTGATCAGGCAGTTATCTGTGAACTCAGGAATGGTGTGAGACAGATACGAGAACGCCCTGCGGAGAGGGAAATTTCCTGTCAGTTCATTAGAGCAGCAGAGGCTGTCCCAGCTTTTACCCCCTACAAAGCAGAAGTCACCAGAGCAGCGCAGGCTGTGCCAGTCTCTCCCCTGCTGTGCCCTCTTCTGGCAGCTCCTCCACTGCCTGGGTGGAAAGGGTGGAAAAGCAGAGGAGATGGGCTTCTCCAACGCCCTTGGCCGGGGCGAGGGTTAAGGACATACATGCAACTGTTTTTCCATACCCAAATGGGCATCCAGGTCCAGTCCTGCTGTCAGCTGTAATGTGCACTGGTTTATCAGGATGGGCTAATTACACACTCTCCTGGGCATTCCTGGTGAGAATTTGGCCTAACACTTCCTACCTAAAAGCTGGTAGGTTTTTCAGGGTATGCCTTCATAAAATAGATAGATTCATATACTCCCTGACAGAATATTTTTGTTCCTGGTGTTATCCTGTATCACAATTATGATTTCAAAGAAGATCCAACTTCACATGTGGGCTTGACAGTTTTCCTTATTAGTGTAGGATTTTATCATACTCACTTGAAGCCAAGACAAATTTGCTTATATCCCTTTCAAACTTAAAATGGAAGTGTTACCCTATGTGCTGGAAGAGGAAAGAAAAGCATCTTATCTCAGGGTAACAACTTACAACATATTAACTATTTTGCAATAACTATCCATGCATGTGCTCTTATCAAATATCAAATTCAAGGTCATTAGAGGTAGTTCAGACAGGAAGAAGAGATGGGTAAGCTACTTGCATTTGGCAGAGAATATCCACAGCCAATTTTACAAGACAGGTAATAACATGATGGCTTACACCTTGCCTCTCATATACAGCCTATCATCCTTTCTAACAGTATGAAAGTAGCCATTGCAGTGATCCCAAGTGGTTCTGATTTTGAACATAAGATTAACTCAGGCCTATGGGTGCCATCCTTCAAAGCACTGCACGTGACACAAACAATGGAAATTTTTTATCACTTTCTTTTTTTTTATTAAAAGTGGTCTTTAATCCAGAAGTTTTTCTGATTTTTTTGAAGTGATTGATGCTTTTCTTCTTTTTGTTGAATAAACTTTACATTAACTCATTCCACATCTCTTAATCTTTTCCTTTTTTGCTGCTTCTCCCCTTAGAGTATCATTTTTATACATTTCTGTGAAGCACTTGGAAAAGAAAATATTTGTTTTTTCAAAATTACAACAAAAGCTACTTGCAATAGTGAATAAAACAGCCAATATTGCTGATAAAATGAATTTAAAATATTTGCCTTAGAATAACACATAGAGAATACAGTGCTGGATATACCTCTTGGCCTTTTTAATATTTAGCAATTGTAAATTTACAAAACAAATTTTGTATTTGTAAATATGTCAATGGTAGACAGACATCTGTGCTGGAGAGAGAAGTAGCTGGAAGAATCTTGTTGGAAAAATCAGTGCTTACTTGGCAAATATATTTTTGCATGGATCTGGATAAGCCATAGTTCCAAATTCAGACACCACAATTCGGTTTGCTTCCACATTGCAGTTGTACGTGTCACTTCGGAGATACTTACTTCTGTAGTAAACTTCACCTGACAAAGGCCAAACAGGTTTCAATTACATTTCATACTGAGTTCTTTAGAAAATTAGCATAGGTAAAGTCAGGGAAAGAGTTTCTCAAGCAGATGTCCTTTAGCTAAGAAAAGTTTGCAATGAAACCGACAATGCCCCTCAATCTCTGTTTTGGAATGCTTTTTCAGCTCTCTAAGGAACCCGAGACTATTCTTGTGGCTGCTGAGATTGGTAACAGTTTGTCTAGCTTCCTTGATTCCCAACACAGTTGGACAACACTGGTAGACTGGCAAGAGGAAAGGCGGGATTTGGATAAACTCTTCCAATAAACCAAAACAATCTGTGTAAAATCAGTAATTAGGCATCAATGTGTGGGTGGTGATAAATCTCCTGTATTGGCAAAATTTAGTTATGAGAGAGTAACAAATTGCTTGAAGGAATCAATGTCTATCCTGACCAACTTAGTGGACCACTATACTTGAACTAAATGAGCTCTGTTTGTGTTAGGTAAGTAAAATATACTGGCAATTTTAAAAACACTGGTCATTTCTTTATAGGTTATTTTGTTAAGGATGTAGAGCTGGACAGGAAAGGAGGTCCTGCAGTTGCATTAAATGCTTTCAATCACAGAAACGGAAACTAAAAAGTAAACACTAGGAATGGAGGATGACAGGAGAAAAACGCAGTTCTTGAACAGGTACACACTTTTTGCAGCAAGAATCTAGGTGTAAGACATCCTGCCTCACACTGTAGAACAGCTGAACTGATAAAAAATGCTTTAACTGAAAACAAAAAATGAAATTGTTTTGGATAGAGGAGCTGCCTGTTTTCCCTCCATAAGGATTACAGGTAGGAGGACTGCTTGTAGGGGTGTCAAGTATACATAAGTGAGGTTTGCTATGTGAAGTGACACAGTGGCCCAGTTTCGCTCCTGGCAGCTGTTATAGCTGCAACCAAATCCCAAAAGGGGAATGTTAGTCTTCCCTGAAACTAGGTTGTTCATCCACAACAGAAAAACCTCCGGATATTACAGTATTTTTGGTTGATCCAGTTTGAAACAATAGAGGTTTTCTTGCTCTGGGTGGAAGGCAAAGGCTGCCCTGCAGTAACCTGCTCAGAGCTGGTTGCAGGCTATCCTGCAATGCAGACAATACTGAACTTTGGCACTCCAGAAAAAAGGACAACGTGATCTGTCTCTGATAACAGTCCTGCAGAGATACTCCTGCTGCTGCTGTGGTGAGTGAGGTGTGAGCGTATGTTTGGAGAGACTTTCCCCGAAGTGGTTGCGACCTCACCAGACATGCCGCTCTGCAGACAAAACCTGCACCCTTCTAATGCTAATCAAAGTCAGAACAGAATGAGCAACATAAGGCACCAAGATTTGGGTCATTAAGCTTTTTTTAATCTGATGTGCAACAACTTACCATTTTTAAATGTAAAGCTATGCAGCAGAGCCAAGCCATCAAACCAGTGGTTATACTTAGTGTCCCCTATTGTGTGCATCCCTGGGCCATTTCGGAGAAGTATCCCTTTCAACCAAGTGGGCAACTGACCTATAAACAAAAAGAACATACCAGTATCCATTCATTTAGGTGAGGGGCATGTTACAGGACAATTTTCCTTAGGGCATAGGCTTCATATAGGCAGACAGACTATGGGTGTAAGTCTAGATTTGTAATAGCATATAATCATGTTGGAGTTTTGGTTAACGAAAATATGACCTGCTCAACAATGTGGCACTAGTGATATTCTGCATGAATATTGCTATACGAGATTACTATAAGAAGATGAGATTGCTGGAATGTAATTTGCTAAATATCAGGAATTAAATAAAGCTGGACCTTTCTTTCCTGCACTCAGATTTTAAAGTGATACATTCTACTCATGCCAGGAAAAGCTAGCGCTTATCAGAAATAAGCATATTTTATAGGTTATATGACTTGCATTGGCCTTCAGTACATCAATTTAAACTTCAGGCTAAAAGAACTCCAGTAAAAAATTCATTAATTAAATTACAGAGCATAATGTAGTGTCATTTTGGGAGTGCTTTTGTGACACTAGTCAGAATGTTGGTGTTTTGAACGCAAATAAAGGGTAGGAATTTTATATTGAAAATATATAAACACTGTTGAGGTTTGAATATGAAATTTTCCTTATCAAACCCTTGCAAGAAATACATTACCTACAATTTGACACACAGAATAACAACAATTAAAGAATGTCATTAGGGTTAAAGAGCTGAACAAAAGCATATCAGATATTAAATTAAAAGCTTCACTTGCTGCTTTGTGTGTATACTTCCTGAGGGAATATTTAAGATCACTTACTACCTTTCCACACAATTCCTGCACTGCATATTGTCTCTGCATAAAAAGCTATTCAGGACTTTTAATTCTCTTTATCATTTAGTTTGTGACCTCATGTTGATTTTGTTGACACACTTTCTTATTAATACTCCCTTTACAACAGATAGAAATGTCCTCCCATGGAAATACTCAATTTCGTCAAAGCTCATGCTGTTGCAGAGAGGTAACAATTGTTTTGCTGTAAGACCTTCTGAGATCCTAATGGGACTTTGGATACTTTCTGAGAGAATATTTCCTGAATTTTGCCCTTTTTAGGTAAGGGAGACAAGGACATTTGCCATTTCTTCAAACAAATGACATTAAGGACACAAGGAAAAACCATCCAAATGCAAAGGAAGGATATGGAGTAAATGTCAGCTTTAACTAAAATACATTCTCAGTCAGGCTAACCAACTAATATTGTATGCCACAATGCTCACACAACTTCATTAGGCTTAGAGTTCTGGAATACAGGAGGAAAATAAAAAATTGTTGACACAATGTATGGACTTTCATTATTATTATTATTATTATTATTATTATTATTATTACTACTACTACTACTACTACTACTACTACTACTACTACTACTACTACTACTACAACAACATTCTAGAAGAGCCTTGAAAACCAAACCTTACTTGCCTTTCTAATACAAGAAGTTCCAATGCAATAATTATAGCACTTTTTTGTATAAGATGAACAAGGTTTAACCTTTAATACACATAATTGCACAAAACCTGAGTAACTAAAAATAGTTGTTGAGAAGATAGTGAGGAAATCACAAGTTAACAGAAGCAAAGAATCCTTCAGAAAGAATAGGATAATGATCTTAAGAAAGTACATATTCAAAATAGATACATCATTTTTGTTTGGCTGACTACTGAACATTAATTGCTGAACAAGCTTAGTCTTCTTATATGCCTAAAACATAAGCGTTTCTTTTCTTGCCACTTCCCTTTCTACAGTTTTCTGGTTTTGGCAATAGAAGACTCTAGGCTCTGCTATTTCTCCAGTATTATGGGCAACTGCAGCGTAGTGAGTGTAGTCTTTTGTGCTCCTACCCTCACACCAATGCCATTTATGATTGTAAATCTGTGCAATGAGCATGAGCTGCTAGTCATGCCCCAACATACCTTTTGCTAACACTGAGTTGTGCTGACTGCACGGGGTCTTGCTGCAACCAATCCTTCTTTCCCTGTGGTGAAAATGTAATACTTCTGCTGCATATGAGGTCTTGTGGGGTTTTGACCCAGTAAAACTATCTTCTGCTTTGGGGCTTATCATTCAAGAAAAGCAGATATTTCTGCAATTCAGTGAAGATCTTGCAGCTCCTAAGGCTAAAAAATTTGTTTAGAGATTATTTCTCTAGATCAGAATAATGATGCTCAAAACATTCCAGGACAATAAAATAATTTCACTGGAATAGATAAACAGGGAAAAAAGGTGATCTTCTGTTTAAGGCACTGTGGACTTGATGCAGCTTCTGAAACTTCTGGAGTAATTCAGTGTAGTTTCTGGCATAATTCCAGTATAAAAAGCATGGAGCAAAGGGTCATCTAGTGAGGTTTTCAGATGAAAATTCATCTTAGTCAGAATTAAGAATTTCTGTAAATCACACCAGGTACCAATCAGCATCCTGAAGTGCTTAAATTGCTTTAAAAATCTGGACCTTTTATCTTTTTTGCTTCAGACTTTTATCTGAAGTGGAGATAACGATACTTTTCTGTACCATGTGAGGACACAAAAGTGACACAGTAAAATGTCCAAATATTTGGAAGTTTATTAACTATCATAGCAACAAAGTCGTGTACAATCACATGGCTGTACAGTGTTTAGGAGAGCATGGGTTAAATTATGGCTGATGTTAGAAGTATGGGGTCATATTTACAGTGTACGTATTGAGTAACAAGGAGCCAAAATAGTGGCAGACCTCAGGGGCAGCAAAATATTTAAAGAGGTGAAGGTTCTCTTTAGTTCCTAATTGGTAAGTACTGAATCAGCATTACCAATGGAAGAGTATTTTGTATACACGATTTTATTTACTGAAATATACAGTCTTTGTTCAAATAAACCATTCCATAATACAGATCAGGTCTGATAAGTGGTTTGTTTGCAAACAACTTCAAATGTTTCTGTAATAAGTTTTTATCTTGAGGAAAATAAAAAGGAAGGCATAAAACCACGGCAAATTATAACAAAGCACTTTGTCTGAGTTGGAAAAAAAACCTTTTCCAATTCAGCCACCAAACTGAACAACAACAACAACAAAGTCATGCAAGTTTTAATTGTCATCTTTCTAAGTGTCGTACTTGGGAAGTGACTTTAAAATTGGTATTAGATGCCTACTATTTCTTGGACTACATATTACAAAAAATGCAGCATATATTTACTACATGGGGGATCTCAGCGACAAACCTCTCCTGTAGCTGTAGCAAAAACACTCTTCTGTAAAGTAAAAAAAGTAGTAAGAATAATAGATTGATCACGTGTTCATCCCTAGAGAGCCACTTTCAACTATGTCTCTGAAGGCTACTCTGCATTTTTTACTGTATTAACTTCAGAACCCTCTTTTTAACGGTACTCAGTGGCATCCGTTACCACTGCTTCTCTGTTCAGAAACGCTGTTGTTGAAGAGTCTCAGTTTTAGTGACCCTCCCCAGGAGGCAAGGAAGAGTGTGAGCAGGCAGAGGGAGGCGTAGGGAAGAGTCACAGAAGCAGAAACGGAAAGGCTGAGCAGAGCCATGGGGGAGGGGATGTCACCAGATTAAATCCCCGGACTTCGTCACCAACTTCAGTGATACCTGTTCAAACAGACTTTTTGGAAAAGTACACAGAAATGCCCATAAAGTGAGAAAAAGCCGACAGTCGGGGCACAAATGTTATCTGAGAGCCATCCTTTAAACAAAATTCACTTAACGTTGTTTCTCGCTTTCTCAGTTTCCCTTTTCAGTGTTGCCTTGGGTGAACAAGTGTTTCAGTGTTTACACATTTGAAAACACCAAAGTAACTGCACGTATTAGAACAGATTTTCTTGCACTTACCTTGCACCTCAGCTTTTATGGGCTCTGGGTGTTCTTCTTTATTTCTGCCAAATATCATATCCATCTCTCACGTACTCAATGGTTCCCGTGTCCTCTAACCAGCCGCTCCTGCAGGCGCAGTGCTCCCCTCCTGTCTGGGCTCAGAACAGCTCTTTTCCTGTTACATATAAAGATAAGGTCAAAGTGCAATGCGAGCTAGTGGCTGGTGGCTTATAGATCGACAATTTGTAATAGCTGATCTTTAATCCCTAGCACATACACTATAATTCTGGCACATTTGCATTAAAATTAACTCTTTCACTGATTCAAAGGAGAAGTAAGAAAAACATAACTCGCCTGTTTGCTCCTTATCTGAAGCAGCCAGGCACACTCAGGGGTCAGGTAGAAGACTCTGAAACGTCCCCTTCAGCATTTCAGATAAAACTTTAGACACTGCTTAGGGGTGCTTGCCCCATTTGGCAGGTAGGGAGAGAAAAAGAAAAGAAATCTCTACCCAGTGTTCTGCATTTGGCTCCTTGGGAGTGACAGACATTTCAGAGCAGGGTGTCATCCTTTTCTTTCCATTCTGTGAAGTTTAAACTGAGCCATTCTATTAATTAACAAAATATCGTCACTGAACAGTCATGTCCTGTATTTCTTTATATACAAGCTGTTTCAGAGCGAACTGAGTGGCACATCTTTGAATTAAACATCTTGTCACAAATGATCACTCTAACATATTCTCCCATATGTGACCTGAATCCACTTTGTGAAAGTATGGCAGGAATCACTAAAAATAAGAGGGATTTTTAACTTTACACTTTTGTTTCTAGATAAGGTACTTAACTGAGTTCAATGCTGTTAATTTTAAAATCCTCTGGGAAAAGAATTATTTCAATATAAAGCATGTGATTGCAGAGCAAATCATAGGGTCCATTGAACATGAAGGATAAAAAGATTCTTTGCACAGTTATATATTATGCAATTTCATATGAGGTTACCCTAAAATCCGATTTTTTCAGCTAAATCACCATTGTTCCCAAAATGTTTTAACATCACCTCTTAAGGCTGACTGGTCTTTTATAAATATACATATTTATTTTATTTAAAACACAATTTGTGCTACAGTCTGCTCTCACACACTTACACATTGCTCCTCTCTTCCTAACCTATCGTCTGTTTGATATCTTCACTTCAGAGCATCAAGACAGCACACCTCTGTCTCTGTTTGGAAAGCACTGACAGAAGCAGGTGATAACAAAATAAGAAGCCAGATTAAAAAAGAAAATATATGGGCTTTGTTGGAATCAGCAGTATTAATAAACAGCAGGATTGAACCAGAAGGCTATAGTAGATGAAGGGTATCAAAGTCCACATACATACACATATGCAGATATATATATGTAAACAGATACATACACTATATATGCATGTGTATGTATATATGCATCTATGTGAGAGAGAGAGAGAGAGAGATGTAGACTTATTTGTATACATAAAGGCAAGTAAGGGATTCTTCAGCAATGTTAGAGACTGAAAAGGATCAGCAGAAAAGCAAGGCTGTCTAACGCTACATTTTCTCTGTCCATAATGTTCTGCTTTGCTTTAATATATTCTCTTCAGTGTATCCTCATCCATTTACATGGCCACAGATCTTAATGCTGCAGTTTTAATTATCTGACCTGTGAGTGGTCTGATCTGTAGCAGTACTAAGAATATTTTCATAGAGCAAGCAAGCAATAAAAAAGATTAATTCAAACCACTTTTGCCCTTCTCCACCATGACTATTCATCTAGTTTAAGGTTCAGCCAAGATGAGATAATTGGAAACCTTGTTAGAAGTTGTTTGAATGGAAGAACAAGGAGCTGCAGACATCCAACAACTTTTAAAATCAACCTAAATGTGTTTTGGTAGCTAATTTCAGGTGTCTGTGCCTGAAAGTTTTGTCCCGTATTTTGTACAACTTAAATAAGGAGGCCCTTCAAAGTTCATTTTTTCTGCTTGTCAGTGAAAAATCATTCATTTACCAGTGAAACACTTTGTTGTTGTTGTTTTCATCATGCTAATGACAAATAAGCAGTTTAGTAAGGTATGGAGAGATGTTTTTTCTTGCTGTTTAATTTTCTCCCTTTTACATTGAAATGGAGAAATATCAAAGTATTGATTTACAATTATAATGTGTAATTAACAATGGAAGTAGATGTGGATTAGGTGACTTTTCTAATGTTATTATTTCACACTGTTTCTTCCCCCTTTGTAAAAACACATTTGATGGGAGAGAATGGGGAAGGTTCTAGAACTCCGTGTTCTAGAGAACATAGAGGAAATAAAACCCTCTCTGGAGAGACTACCAGCAGCTCTTTGATCTTAGTTTTACCAGACACATTGTAACTCATATATATATACACACATATATAATGTTTACCAAAACATTATAAACTCAGGGAGACTGTGCTGTCTTACTCTTCCCAGTACAGAATATTGAAAACATGATCCTTAATGCAAATGATGCAATCCTCTGGTTTGAATAGCCTCTCCTGATGCTTGACCTTATTTACAAACACTACCCAGCTGCAGAATCCTTCAAATATAAATCTTCCCCCAACCAAATCTAGCATTTCTCCCCACAGTTCCCTCTCTCCGTTCATCCCTCATGACAACATTTTTGAAGTCACCAGCTCCCCACCACAGGCAGGTTTTCTTCACTGTATTTTTTTCTGCTTTAAATAATTGTGGTGAAGGCTACAAGCTGTTTCCTCTTGGGTTCTTTCTAGCTTTCGCTCCCCTCCAGTCTCTGGGTGCCTTGAGCTTCTCTCCCAAACTTAAAAAGGGCCATGAAGACACGTTTGGAGCAAAGCATTACCCTGCCCAGCATTGGTCTGGTTGTACCCTGTGGCCATGCAAGGCTGGGGATGACATTTAGGATGTGATCTCTGTGGTCAATCGAAACAAAATTTCCCAAGGCAGAGGAGCTGGTTAACTAAATTTCTAGTATAACAATAATGTCATTGCCATGCTTCTGCCTTTTTGTACTTTTGGTTTACTTACACAAGAAGCAAATAATTGCCTTATAAATCAGAGAGAGACCAATATTATTCCTTATCTCTATATTGAAATACAAGTACTTAATTTACTTTAATCTCAACCCTTCTCTTATAAAATCTGAGTTCTAATTAAAGCACATTAATAAAGGTCAAATTACCTGATCATGACTTTAAGCTGTGCTAAGAACTTTCAACTATCAACTGTTATCTATTATTACCAAATAAAGACTCCAGTAGTAAAACTGATACGAACTTAAGAGTTTTTCTTGCTGAAATCACACTGATTGCTATCTCACTGTGCCAGATATAAGCTCTTATCTTTGCTAAATACTATCTTATTGACATGATCTCATTTCAAAAAAATACCACCAGCACTACCCAGGAATACTGCTCTTGCACTGTCCAAGTATAATTGCAAACACAAACTACTAATATAGTTTGTTCAAATTTAAATAACAATAGTTTCCATATATTATTTTGATCAGGTTTTGTTTGGATCAAAACATTTTTGATCAAATACTGTTTGGATCAAAATAACTATTTTTGCAAGATTTTAATTTTTTTCTGAGGTTTTTGTGAGGTTTCACTGTTTTCTGTGATAAAAATACTATTTTCTTTTATACAGTCATATTTTTAATGCATATCACCAGAAATACTGATTTGTTCAATTAAATAAAAATATAATGTAACTTAGTATTAAAACTCTTCAAGTGCTGAGGCATAGAACTGCTAGCCTACCCATACTAGTATGAAACCAGACTAAGCCTGCTCAGTGCCCACATAAAATTCCTACTGTAAGACTTTTATAACCTCATCTGCACCTTTCAAAATTCCAAGACTATTTAAATATTTTAATATTTAATATCTTATACAGTTCAGTAATGTGTTTTCAGGTGGGCAGAATGACAGCATGAAGGTTGGCATTCACTTCCATGGCTGAAGGTGTAGAAATGGTGTTACAGACATTTACAGTGACAGAAGTTAATGCTGCTACACATTGTCCTACCTTTTAGCCTACTGTACATCTTTGGGAGAACATAAAAGAAAAACTGAAAAGAACTGGTTTCTGGTTTTAGTCATGTGGGATCTGAGTGTAGAGTGCTTAACACAAAAGCAGTGTTCCTGAACAGAGAGACTGCTAGACCTCCTGTCTTCTCATTATGAGGATTGTGAAGCTGATCTCTTTTGTAAGGTGTTGGATATCTACTGATGAGAGACGTTATTAATGAAAACAACTTGTAACACAGCTTTTTTCTTTCTGTTTTCATGTCCTCTAAGTTCAGAAAGAGCTCATACCAAACAGAAGAAAAATATGTAACAAAATTAAGTAAAACAATCAAGAGGTGGAAGCTGGACTAGCTTAGAAATCTGGCCAGTCTTACACTCATGGAAATCTGGAGTGACTGCAGAGACACCAGTGTAGTTGTGGTGGCTGTAGATTCAGATCCAAGCAATTTTTTTTTGCCTCTCTGTGTGTGCTAGGAAAAGTTCAGCCCATATTTATCTACCAGTTAATGTTTTACCTAAAGAGGGTACATTTAATCCTTAGAACAGTTCTCTTGTTAAGATATTAAGGCAATAGCACATCTAAATTGTGCCACTTAGTCAGTCATGATCACAAGAACACGAGGTGTCAGCAGATGCTTCAGATTATAGCTCTGCTACTTTCTATGTGAATTCAAGGCTAGCCTTAGCCATCAGTAACCCCAGCTCGATTAACATTCTTATGGGGCACACTCATCCTCTTCTTCCCAACAGTCGAAGTTCTGCTGTGGAAGGCAATAAAACATAGGAACTAGCTGGGAAAGAGGGAGGTATTGAGGCACAACTGTATGGCAGGTGAGGAAAGTCAAGCTGCAAGCCCAAAGGCAGTACTAGATGCTTCCGAAGGGACAGTTCCTAGGAGAAGATCCTTGGGCACTTATCCAGGCAACATTTGTGCCAGAAGGTAACCATACACATCCTATAAACAGAAATTATGTCCAACCCAGCAACTGCTGAATGTACTCCTACTTATCTTTATCCTGACCCCATCATGCCAGGCATGAATGTCTAATTTAATTATTGCACCCTGTAAAGATAAGAATTGTTCTCCCT